AGGGCTCCGCTCCCAAGGGCCCTCCCCCCCACCCGAGGTGGTAGCACTCCGTTCTGGGCACTCCTCTGGGAGTCCGCGCCCGGAGCTGGGTGCCATCAGCTCGGGGGGCGGGGAGCGGCCAGGCCCCCTAGCTGGTGGTGGTGGTTCTGTCTTCTATGGTTACGTCGGGCACGCCCCTCCACAGGAGAAACTTTCAAGAACAGTCAAAAAATCGTCGGGGAACGATGTTCCGAGTATTTTTTTGACGATTTTTGTGACTACGGTTTACATCCGCCAGTAGGAGGACATGCCCGACCTAATTCTATGATGAAGAAGTGATGAGGGGCGGGCCTTATCGGAAGGCTCGGAAGCCCCCGAGTCTATAGAGAAGTTTTCCGGGCCTTCCCCGAAGGCGCAGAAAACCTCTCAGCAGGCGCAAGGGCTTCTGAGAAGTCCCGACGAGTCTGAGAAGGCCTTCTTCATTCTCACTCCCCCCCCCCGCTAGCCGCCGAAACATGTCCCAGGCCCCTCAGACTCCTAGTGGATGGCATAAGGTCGCCGGGGCTTACGCGGGCCGCCAGCTCGGCACGCCAACTTCGGAGGCGAGGGCGCTTACGCGCGACCCTCGCTTGGCAGCTTACGCGCCAATGTCGGTGAAGACGACCCCTCAGAGTCCCCAGGGCCCTCTCAGACTCCTAGTGGATGGCATCGCGGCCTTACGCCGGGGCTGACGCGGGCCGCCAGCTCGGCACGCCAGCTTCGGAGGCGAGGGCGCTTGCGCGCGACCCTACGCTGGCAGCTTACGCGCCAATGTCGGTGAAGACGACCCCTCAGAGTCCTCAGGGCCCTCCAAAACTGCCAACTAATATTCTCGCCGCCGAATCTCAGGAGGGGAAAAAACACACAGACAGAATTAGTCGTCGATTCCCCAGACAATATGGGATAATATGGGAAGTGGGGGGGAAGACCAAAACCCAGAAAATATGGGAAAATATGGGGAGTATTTTTATTTGTGTGTATTTATTTGTGTGTCCCAGGGCCCCCTCAAAACCTGCCAACTAAGATTCTCGCCGCCGAAGCGAGGGCCAACGCCGATCTGTCGGCGGTGCATCGCCGACTCCAGCCCGACGCTTCCCACCCCGAGCCCCGGCCCCCCTCGGCGCTCCCCCCCACCACAGGGGAGGAAAAGAGGGGGGTGATGACTAGGGGGGGGTGGATATCATGGCGGGGGTCATGATATTTCCCCAGATTTCATGGCGCCTCTTCTTATCTTATTACGTCCCAGGGTTCCCTGCTGGGCCGCGCACATGCCGCCGGTCATGATTTGCCCCCCCCCCTCTTGGACACCCCCCTCTTGGCCGCTCCCGAAGGGGAGGGAGGACCAGGGGCTGGGCAGCGTGGAGGTCTCGCGGATGTCGGGGCTCCAGGGGCGGGGATCCATGCAAGCGGGGGTCAGCCAGATCACCGGCTCTTGCAGGATCCTGCAGGGCCGAGGATGCCTTGATCCGGGTTTGGGTGCAGGACCCTGAAGATCTTGAAAAGTCTGACTGACCCGGGTCTGGATTATCAGTGGCCATATGTGAACCCTACCCCCCTCCCACGATTTCTAAGGGGGGGTGGGGGTTCAATCCGCTCGGGACCTCCCGAACGAAATGAACCCCCACACCCCCTTAGAAATCGTGGGGGGTGGGGGTAGGGTTCACATGTGGCCACCAATTTTGACCCAGGTCAGTAGGTTCCCGAGACTGTTTCGCGGCCCCCTCGTCTGCTTTCAATGCGTCCCCTGGTCCACCTCAATTCGTCGGAGCAGGAAAAGGTACCCATGCCGCTACCCTTCCATCGCTTTTCCCTATGTGGGCCTCCTGGGACGCCCTCGTCGCCACCGCCGGATTCGCCGCGAAGTTCTGGTCAGAACGCGCCCCTGGAGAGGTCTGGTGCGCAACGGTGCCAGTACCTTCTGGTTCCCCCCTCCTCTGCTTTCAGCGCGTCCACTGGCTCCCCACCCCCACACGTCCGCGCGCATGCCTCTGGGCCATGATGTACACCCCCACTTTTTCTGGGCCTCCTCCTTCTCAAGCAGTGGCGAAGCGTCCTGGCGTGCCGATAGGCCAACCAAGCAATGTTCTAAGAGCCTTTTGTGGTTTCGACGCAATATTCTTGGAACATTCCTGGCTGGCTGTTTTAACACATCGGGCTTATGTTCTAAGAACATTGTTTTTGTTCTTAGAACATTTTTGGGTCCTAAGAAAATCGTGGCAGGCCTATAGGAATGCCGGGACGGTCTGTCCCTGCTCAACCTTCGGCGCCGCCGATGCGGCGGCGGCGGCGGCGAGAATCTTTGTCGGCAGTCGTGGGGGGCCCTGATCCGGGGGCTGCCTTCGGCAGAGGCAGAAGGGGGCGGGTGGCCGGGGGGGGCATCACGCGAGCGACGCAGAAACAGAGTCGTCGGCGCCGACATTGGCGCGAAATTATCGAGAACGAAAAGACCCCTGACACTGATACCACGATGCGGACGTGGTCTCACGTAGGTCCCCGTCTTCGCATCAGGGATGATCGTTCTGGGCGGTTTGGTCCAATCCATCTGCAGTCAAGACCCCCTATCCCTAATGTTTTTGGCCCTCCTAATTTAGGCTTCGCACGTAAGCTTCCCGCGTAAGGTCGCGCGTGAGCGCCCTCGCTTCAAGTTCAGCGTGCCGCTTTGGCGTCCCGTGTACAGTGGAGACCCATGCCAAGAAGCACCCTGCTTGCCTCCAGCGGGTCCTGGGTTTCTTGCTTGGATTTCGATGCTTCTGCGATGGAGGGCGTGGCGTTCCCACACCAAACACCAGCGGACGCCATGGGGTCTCAGGGCTGGGTTTCTTGTGGAGGGCCTCTGACGGTCGAGCTCCTGCTGTAATGGAGGATGACGATTAATAAATGACCGGGGGTCGTGTTCACGCGGCGGCGCCCGCCATGATGATTAGAAAAGACCGGCCGCGGGCTGGAAAACTATTTGTTCAGTCGTTTTCCTTCATTTTTGTCAATAATCATCATCCCGCATTAAGCTAATTACGGCCTGAGGCCGCTGTGCCATCCCGCGTCCGTGCCACCGCCCCACACTGCGCCCGTGGGGCGCCGACGGCCCCCCCGTGGGGCGCCGAGGCTCCATAGGGGGGGCCTGCGCGCGACGCCCGCGCCAGGGCCGCCTCGTCCCCCGTGCCTCCGCCGGTCTCTCGCCGCCACGGCGGGGCTCCCGTCGGGCCTCTGGCCACAGTCAGGAGGGGAAAAAACACACAGACACAATTAATCGTCGATTGCCCCAGAAAATAAGGGGAACATAAGGGAAGTGGGGGGGAAGACAACAACCCAGAAAATATGGGAACATATGGGGAAGCATTTTATTTGTGTGTATTTATTTATGTGTCCTGGGGCCCCTTTACACAGCGCACCCCCAGGGGCGGTGTCCAGCGGCCGAGCTCGCGGGGGGGGGCGACAAGCGACGTCGACGGCGTCGTCGCTTCGGAGGTCCTCGGTGGTGCTTCCGCTCCCCGTCGCCACGGCGGGAGGCGGCTCGGGGAACCGGCCGGGAGGGTCCCTGGGAGTGGACCGGGCGACCGAAGTTGAGTCGGTTTTGGATGCACGGCGGCGACGGCGACTCGGCGGGGGCGGCGGCGGCGGCCATCTCCACGGCGGCGGCCCACGCTCCCAGCGGCTCGGACAGATCGAGGCTGAAAAGCAGTCTCCGCCTCCATCAGGAGACTGCTCGGGACGAGGGGCGCCCGCGCTCGATTCCCAGGGCTTCCCTCTGGGGAGCTCGCAGCAGGAGGAGGAGGAGGAGGAGGAGGAGGAGGAGGAGGAGGAGGAGGAGGAGGAGCAGCAGCAGCCCGCCTCGAAGTTGCAGGCAGTCGAGGCTGGCGCCCAGGCGGCGCAGCGGCAGAAATGCAAGCTGCGCGTGCCGGCCTGCGGGGAGCGGGGGAGGACCAGGAGGGGAGGAGGGAGGAGGGAAGGAGGGAAGGGGGAGGAGGGAGGAGGGAGGAGGGGGGAGGAGGGGGAGGGAGGAGGAGGGAGGAGGAAGAGGAGGGAGGAGAAGGAGGAGGGAAGGACCAGGAGGGAGGAGAGGAGGGAAGGGGGGAGAGAAAGAGGAAGGAGGGAGGAGGGAAGAGGAGGGAGGAGAGGGAGGAGGGAAAGACCAGGAGGGAGGAGGGAGGAGGGAAGGGGGTAGAGAGAGAGGGAGGAGGACGCCACAGCAGTGAAAAAGCCAGCGCTCCAGCCGCGGTACTCTTTTTGCAGCTTCTGCTTGTACCTCCGGGGGCGCCCCCGTCGTCCTCGCCGCCGTGGCCAGAGCTGGCCCGGCATCCGTCGGGGCCAGCTCCAGGACAGACTTCACCGAGCGCGTTCCACTACTCGCAGAGTGTCTATTCGCAAACGTCCGAACAACACATGTCTGCTTTGATGTAACTTATCGTAGATCTCCCGCTTCGGATCCAGGGCAATTGCGAGTAGTTCTTTTGCGAGTAGTGGAACGCGCTCGTCTAGGACTTGTGGAGTGTCCTCAGCGAAGGCGATGGAGACGGCGGCGCTGAGCAGGTTCGGTAGCAAGTCATGGGGGCCTCGTGTGTCCTCGGAATTCTGTCTTGAGAGTGCCTTGACTCGCGCTGTCGTGTGGGAGTCGACGAGGAAGCGCTGGTTCAGTGCTGATTGGCGTCGACTCGGGTCGACGAGCGTCGGTTAGCGTCGGTTCGCGTCGATCAGCGTTGATTGCCAAGGGCCAGCAGGATGGCACGGGAGGCTGGCGCGAGAGGCTCCCATGACGGCGACGGCGGCGACGACGGCCAGCAGGATGACGGCGACGGCGGCGACGACGAGCAGGGCGACGAGGACGTCGAGCCCTCCTGCCTTTGGACTCCGTCCCGCCCCTGCGTCGACGCGCAGCTCCGCGCGAGGCGGCCAGGTGCGACGGCGGCGACGACGAGCAGGGCGACGACGGCGTCGAGCCCTCCTGCCTTCGGACTCCGTCCCGCCCCTGCGGCGACGCGCAGCGCCGCGCGAGGCGGCCAGATGGGCAACCCCTTCAGCCGCGGCGGCTGCATCAGCCTCAAGGGGCACGCCCAGGCGCGCCCCTCCCGCTCCCCGCCGCGCACGTGCGCCCCGCCCTGCTGGTTGCGGCGCGCGCGCGTGTGCTGTGCCTGGTTGGTTGTCGTCGCGGCCTTTCGCTGGCGCCCCTTCTGCTGCTTCGCTCCATCCCCACCCTCCTTCTCCTTCTCCTTCTCCTTCTCCTTCTCCTTCTCCTTCTCCTTCTCCTTCTCCTTCTCCTTCTCCTTCTCCTTCTCCTTCTCCTTATCCTTCTCCTCCTCCTCCTCCTCCTTCTCTTTCTCCTCCTCCTCCTCATTCCTGACGTAGCAGCGAGGCAAAACGAGACGCGACATGGTCACGCCGTCCATGTGTCATATCCACAGGATGTTCGCCGAGTTGTGGATGCCTCCCTTTCAAAGGTGATTTGTACTTGACTGTTCCCTGAATTCCATCACGCGCGCACAGAACTCCTGCATCGAGTCATGCATCAGGGACTGGCCTTGGAGACACACCCACATCAATTGAGTACAACTGAGCATATTCGAGTAACCTGGACAACGGAAAGGCAACCACGGGCTGCTCGTGGGTTGCAATTTTTGAAGGCCGAGGATCGTCAAAACCACTCCACATACGTGGCTGCGGCCTCGTTCCTGTGTCCTTCTGGCGGGAGGGATGGCAGCAGCGTTCGCATTTTCAGAAACTCGCAATCCGATTCCCTACGAATCTAGCAAACAACAATGCATACACGTCCAGCCTGTTGGCAATGAAATCCAGTTATTCCATGTCGTGCTCCCACTTTCAGTTGCCCTTGGTGAATGCGCATCGTACGTTTGCACATCGCATTCACGAGTGCAACGCGCCAGCTGGTCCATAATCTCGTTACCCCTCGGACCGATGCCAACAAACGCCTGAGCCTTCGCGCACGTTAGCCATGTGGTTACCCGTCTGCCTGCATACCTGGTTTTTTTATTCATCTTGTGTACCGGAAGTACCACCTCGTGTCTCTAGCGGCCATGGATGGCGTGTACGATACGGTCCACAACTACTCCGCTATCGACTCATGCTCGTTTGGCGACGAACGAACCTGCTCGATCACGCTAATACGGCGGAAGATGAACACGTGTATTTGGGACCTTGTTGATGTTGATGATGATGTCGCTGATGATGCTGATGATGCTGCTGATGATGATGCTGATGGTGATGGTGATGGTGATTGCGATGACGATGATGCTGATGATGCTGATGACGCTGATGATCATGCTGATGATTCTCATTATGCTGATGATGTCGATGATGCTGACGATGATGATTATGATCATGATAATGGCCATGAGGGCGCCGACAGAGTGATCAGGGCGAGGTGAACCATGGATGAGGGACGGGAGGACGAGGAGGGAGTAAGATGAAGAGGAGGAGGAGGCGGAGGAGGCGGAGGAGGAAGAGGAGGAGGAGGAGGAGGAGGAGGAGGAGGAGAGGAGGAGTGGTGGTGGTGGTGGTTAGGACGACGAGCGGGAGGATGAATCAGCGGATTGGGAATGTGTGCGTGTGCGGAGTGTATAGAAGGGAGAAGGGGTTATAGTAAAGCCAAGATGCATCAGCGATGCTGCAATACTCCCTCTGGTCCCAAGTGCATTCTTCTCGGCCCTGCAATCTTCCACCGTCAGTAGAAGAAACGCCTCTTGACACTAGAGGCATCTGAGTTTCCGATCTTGGCGAGAGCTACGTTTGAAACAGGAACTGTCTTGCGTCCTTGTTAGGCGTGCGCGCAGTCACGCGAGAACCTATGATCATGCAGTTCAGCGAGGTTTGCGGTGAGACCCCCTTTTCGAAGAAGGGATCCCCCCCCCCCCCCCCCACCCCCCCCCACGGGGGAACCTGCTGCAGAAGTTTTGCACTTTCAGGCGATCGCAAACATGAATTGAGGGGGCGTGGATTAGCGAAGGGTCCCGTTTCAATAGGACATCGCGGACTGCCGCCGCCGAGCGAGGCGCCACCGGCCGCATCTTGGGGAGGACACCTCCCCCGATCCATGGATTTGGCGACCGCGCGCCAAATCCATGGATCGCCAAGCACTGCTTGCGCGCCCCCGACACTTGCGGTCACGAGCCTCCGTGGAGCTCCCGGCGAGCGCGTCCTTTTTGAGCATGGCTGCCGCCCTCGATCCCTGCAGCGTCACGTCGGTGTTGAAGGTTCGGGGTGCGCCAATCGGCGGGCAGCCCGGAGGGGAGGTTCGAGGAGGGAGAACCCCCACCCTGACGCGTCGCTTAGTGAATTGTGCGTTTTCGGTTCTCGAGAGGGCGCCGCGGCCGTCGTTTTCCTGGCTTGCGCCCGCCAGGTCTCGAGGTCGTTTTGACTAAACCACGTTTTGCTAAAGGGGGTTCTGTCCATCCCCGAAAGGTACTCATACCGTTGGCCTTGCTTCGTTTTGGTCTTTCGGGGCCTCCTGGGAGGCCCTCGTCGCCACGGCCGGATTCGCGTCGAAATTGGAGTCAGAACGCGCCCCGGGAGAGAGTTCTAGGTGAGTAGCGGTTTTGGTACAGTCTTGCCTCCCCGGGGGAGGAAGAGAGTGGGTGCGGGCCTTGTCAGAAGGCTCGGAAGTTCTCGGGCCGTCTGAGAAGCTTTCTGAACCTTCCCCGAAGACAGAGAAAACTTCTCGGAATGCCAGGGGGCTTCTGAGAAGCCCCGTGGCTTTTTCTCACTTCCCTCCTCCTTCGCCGCCGAGTTCAAGAAAGGAAGCCTGATACGAAACTCCCTTTTGAAAACGAACCTTCTCCCATCCTTCTAACGGATACTGGTGTTCAAAACGGAATTGCATGACGCTAAGGGGAAAGTCCCGCTTTGAGAACGACGTGTGCTGCATCCTTGCGGCTCTTGTGAGCTTTTGCGACGATTGTGCGCGGCGCTAAGGCGAGAGCGCGAGTGTGCGCAGCGCTTAGGCGAGGTCCCCGTTTTGGAACACGATCCCACTCCATGCCCAAAGCTGAGGCAAACGTGTCGGACGACTACGCGCGGCGCTCGGGCGATAACCCCATTTTGAAAGCGAGCCCGCATCTATTTTGTCAGAGCTCGAGTTCATAAGTATGCAGTTTCTTTTTTCCCAACCATCCTGTGGTGTTGGGTCCTCGTTTTGAAGAGACGGTCCCCGCGTTCCTTCTTCTCCTCCTCCTCCTCCTCCTCCTCCTCGCCCTCCTCCCTCCAAGGTTCGCATGCCTCCCCACCACCCATTTCGGCACACCCCTCACACGTTTCGTGGCCCCATAGGGAGCTCCACCGAAGGCCCCAGTGGCTGCGTTCGCATGCCTCCCCACCACCCATTTCGGCACACCCCTCACACGTTTCGTGGCCCCATAGGGAGCTCCACCGAAGGCCCCAGTGGCTGCGTTGCCGCATGCCTCCCCACCGCCCATTTCGGCACACCCCTCACACGTTTCGTGGCCCCATAGGGAGCTCCACCGAAGGCCCCAGTGGCTGCGTTCGCATGTTCGCACACCCATTTCGGCACACCCCTCACACGTTTCGTGGCCCCATAGGGAGCTCCACCGAAGGCCCCAGTGGCTGCGTTCGCATGCCTCCCCACCACCCATTTCGGCACACCCCTCACACGTTTCGTGGCCCCATAGGGAGCTCCACCGAAGGCCCCAGTGGCTGCGTTCGCATGCTTCCCCACCACCCATTTCGGCACACCCCTCACACGTTTCGTGGCCCCATAGGGAGCTCCACCGAAGGCCCCAGTGGCTGCGTTCGCATGCCTCCCCACCACCCACCCCTCACACGTTTCGTGGCCCCACAGGGAGCTCCACCGAAGGCCCCAGTGGCTTCGCATGCCGCCCCCGCACCAACTCCGGTGCACCCCTCACACGTTTCGTGGCCCCATAAGGAGCTCCACCGAAGGCCCCAGTGGCAACGTTCGCATGCCGCCCCCACACCCATTTCGGCACACCCCTCAAACGGTTCGTGGCCCCATAGGGAGATCCACCGAAGACGGTACTCACACCAGCATTACTCACAACTGCATATGGTTGGGTCCTTCGCCAGGCTAATTTTTATGATGATCGATCGTCATTGAACAGTTTGTTTATGACGATCGATCGTCATACAGCACTGTGTACTTCTGAATTCGACCTCCATCCCCGAGACTTGTTGCAACATCTTGCAACGACCTCTCGGCGCTGAGGCGATTCTGCACCACATGTTTCGAGAGAGAGCGAACCGCTCTGCCTGCCTGGAGAGCGCCTGGAAGCTTCGAGACACATGTGCGCTGCACTGAGGCGATACAGTCGATCCGCATAGTGAGGATGCGCAACCTTCCCTAGCGTACCCCAGATTTCGTAATACAAGGGAAGGGGTCTGGACTCTCCAAGACAAGCCATTTCAGACCTCCCCCGTGGAAGAACCCTCCCAAACATCGTCCCCAGACCCCCCAGGCCCTCCAAGATAGCCTGGAAGAGACCCCCCCACTGAAATGAGACCCCCCTCCCTTTATTATGAAATCTGGAGTACCCTTGCATCCTTGACTCCTCGGCCCATCCTTGGCCGCTCTCGTGGGCCGCGCCCCGCCCGAGAAGCTTCGAAGTGGGCGTCCAGGGCCCTCGCATCCTTCTCGCGCACCCTTGTGATGCCGGTCGACCGTGCAAGGCGATGGGCCCCATTTTGACAACCAGTTTCGCCGTATAGAAGCTTATTCTGAGACATGCATGGCTTGATCTTTGAGACAAGCATATGACTACTGGCAGGATCAACCAGGTTTGGACTCAACCACTGAGCCCTGGTCTTGCACTCAAACAGTCAACCAGAGAATCCAGCAACACATGGCGACAAGCGCCAGCGCTGAAACTCATCAGAGCTTACTCTGCGACGCTGACGCGCCAGGCACGAAGAGCCGCGCAAAGCAGCACTACGCCCCAAGCGTACCGCTCTCCATCCTTCTAGGTGATCGTTTTCTTATTCGTTGTTCTGCCGATCGGCGCGGGCCTTCGTACCCCCCTCCCCTTCGTGGAGTAGATCTTGGCAGTTCTTGGCGTCTGTTTCACGCAGGTGGG